CCTCGGATGGAAATATGCCATCCCCTGATGTCAGGAAGTCACTTCTATAATAATAAACTTTTTCCAGTGTCAAGACTGTTGTGTTTGTTTTGTTTTGTTCTCCTATCAATCTGAAGCTAAGAAGGAGCTGAATCCTATGAAAGAAATAAAACACATGTGAACATTTGCTGCCATAAGTAAAGGCAAATGTATTCTTGACAGTATCCCAAGATTTTTTTTTCCCTTGAAGATTTCTATAGGCACGTTTTTGATCACAAGATTGGAATATGTCATGAGCACATTCAAATATTCATTTGCATTGATATTGTTGCCAGAAGCCATCTCACAGCCATCATCAGACATTTTGGAGCCCCTACAAAGCTTTCTGTGGGATTGGAAAGCGTCCAACCAGGGGAAAGCAAAGCCACCGTGAGATTTGGACAGCCAGTTCCACGGGAAAGCTGCACATTAATGAATGGCAAGAGCTCAAAGTAGTAGTTGTGGTGAATAACTTGCAAGCAAATTATTGGCTGAGACCCATCATGTATTTAAGCTATTTGATAAATGAAATTTTGAAAGAAGCCTGTTTAAAAATAATCCATTAAAAGACAGCAGGCTTATTTTACAGCTAGATTTGCCAAACAGTACTGCTAGCTGTAATGAAATCACTGGATTATAAGTTGCCCATCAGCCTTAATGCAGATCCACCGTGATCCGTACTTCATGCTGCACTTGTACAAGTTTAGGTATCATCAGAGCCTATCTGTGATTCATGAATTATCGGAAGAAATCAAAACAGCAGCACCGGGTGTCTGTAGTTCAGATCTCGCACTGAATTCCCAGCATTTCAGAAAAGGGCTTGTGTGCTTTGTTCTTATTTTCTATTTCCTCAGCACTGGTCTATAAAATCCACTAGATCCACATTTCAGTTCTTTGTCCCAGGAACTGAAGACAACAAACCCATTTTAGCACTCCGGACTTTTCACACCTGTATTGCCCACTTCAGGATACATCAAGTTTACAATCCCCTTTCTAACCATCAGGCCTAACAGTCCCTCTAAGTTTAAATTCAAATCCTGAAGGCCTTAAAAAAGCATATCCAGTTGCCAACTCGTTAGGCAGCATAACGCAAGCTCTCTGCTTTTTGGTACACCTTGTGCTTAAAAGGAAGCTAATCTCAGAGATATTTAGGGCAGTTTGCAATGTTAATGTATGAGAAGGTGTGGACACAGGCATGCACAGGTGAGACTGCCTGAAGGGAAGGCAAGGAGCTGAACAATCTGCATGCACAGCATTCTGGCTCAGAAACTCTCCAAACACAACCCTCCCCAACAGGGAAAATTGGAAGAGGCAGATGAGAGGATGAAAAATGAAGGGATCAGCAAAAATGAAACCTAATATAAACCCGACTAAAATAAACTCAGCATGGCTCCTGTGGCTCATTCAAAAGTACATCTTCTCTGAAAGTTCATTTGCAATATCACTGGAGAAATGCAGAATATAACTTCTGTGTTGTGCAAGATGAGAAGGCATTGGCATATCTGTCTGATGAGATGGAGAAGTTTGTAAAGAGAAGTACTGAGCACTGCAAGATTGCCTCACAGGAAATGCGGCAGAAAGTGACAGCACTCCTAAATATTGGGGTTAAGAGTTTGAAAGAATGAAGATTTCTTTAAAGAATTGGTTGAAATGAGGTCAGAAGGCTCAGTGCTGTGACACTGCAATGATTGAACCAGGGAAGTTGTGCTATTGAACAATTAACCATAGCTGTTTGTACACGACTTTTGTTTTTTTTCTGAATGTATGTAGCAACTCTTGCTGCAGGACATCAACACTGTTGTTTTTTTAAATATAAATAGTTGTCAGAGTCAGCAGCAGATCCCTCCTGGAGAAATTCAAGGCTGTATTTCATTTGATTAATGTGCTTGTTAAGCCTCAGCTATGGCAACGGGACAACAGAGAAGCTAACTGTGTTGTAGGCTTCAAAAGTATGAGAATAATTGATGTGGGTCGAAGGGGTTTGTTTGCTTTTGTGCATGGTTTTTTTTATGCAATAGCAGACGGTTGAGAAATATGTCAGATCACTAATACTGAATTTTCAAGAATATTAGGATATAAAAAGCTAAAAAGCTACAGACTATTCAGCTACCAAATTAGCTGGTGCCAACCTCTGTCTACTCTCTTTAGCATAGCCCTGAGACTAGCAATAAATTATTGTCCAGCTCTACGAGTATATTCCATCTCTTTACAGCTTTGATGGGAGTCCAGAAGACACCACAAGGTATTTTATTGTTGGGAGAAAAAAGCCATGCAATAGCTTACAAATTGATTTGTGATTGTGTCTAATCCTATTGCTGGTTTTAGTCAACCCTATTCTTCCCACTGTGTTTTTCACAGAGGGAAATGTGGCCTGGCACCCTCAGGATTCAGCTAGGAGCTGCTCTGACTTCTTTTTCTTGTACCTGAGAAAGTCTCCTCATCTCAGGCTGACACTGAACTCAAGAATTGCTTTTCTTCTCTGACATAAGGACATTAAATAAAAAAAAAAGGCATTTATTGCTCTGCACTCAACAACTGAGAGAGCAGAGACAATGAGCTTGTCACCTCTGCTATTGCAATGGGCAAAATTGCAGGGGGTTATAATGACAGTGCAAGTCTGTTGAGCTCTGATATCACTTGTTTTCTGTTACAGCCATTTCCATCTTCTATTAACATTCTTCTGTGATGAGTCCTTATTATTGTAAACCCAAATTCCATAGGACAGCATTTTCCATATAGCCGCGATGTTCCAGAAGCAGTATCACCTCTGTGTTTGTTTCAAGACCCCTCTCTGCATAAAGAAACTGAGAAAGAAAATCTCTTCCAGGAGATTTTCCTGGAGAAGACAGCACTGAATTACTTATTTTTTTACACCACTTTAGTGCTGTAATGTGCTGAGGAGGAATGCAGGGAGAACTCAGTGCTTAAAGCAACTAGCAGCTATGCTGCCACTAACACTAAAAAGGGAAGATAAAGAATTTCATGTCATGTATTCATTCACAGTAATCATACAGATGGTTATTTGAGGGAAGAAATTGGTCAGGATCAAATCTCAGTGGCAAACTGCCTCGAAGACACATATAGGAAATCATCTGGGGAAGATGGGGTCAGTTTCATATAGAGCCTGCAGGCTTCTGAGAGGTTGGAGCTAAATCAGAGATGCCTGGCTGTGAGAAGTCTGTACAACACAGAGGAATTCTTTCAAATAACAAAATGCTTTTACATAAGGAAAGAAAAGGAAAGGGAAGCATATCTACCTCGTACTGATGGGTCAGCATCAGCCCAGAGAAACACATGTCCTCACTATTCCTAGGCATGATGGATGAGCTTTGCAGCTGGCAAGGGAAAAGTGAATAACAAGTCAACATGACCTTTGTTTTCACATATATGAGTTGCTGTGCCTTCCTCCAAAAAAATAAAAGGATGGACAGCAAACAGTAAGTGAGGCATTGGGAATGTTCTGAGCCAGCAAGATATAAAGTGAATGGATTGCTTTTTAGGGCACAGTGACCCACAGGAATAAATAGAAGTAACAACACGCTTCTTTTAGAGACTCTGTATTTGGATGGAAATCATAATGTCCCTGTTATTATGTAAGTTCAGAAACAAAAGGCAAGGTCTTGCCTCTGGCTGGTTAGGGCCTCCAAACTCCGCCTCAGATTCTATCTACCCTGTTTTGTTTTTTTCCATGTAATTGTTCTTTGGTCATCACCAAGCTGAAATGAGAGTACTTCATTCCTTCGTGTAAGGGAGAACTTTCTTTTGTAGATTTATGCAGAGAAATCAGCATATCTGCGTCTTGATTTTTTCAACTTGAATGGCTTGATGCAAAGATGAGCAGATGTTCAATATGTCTCTTTATCTTCAGACTTCTTTTCAGAAGAAAAGCAGGAATGGCCTCTGAGAACTCTTGCTACTGAAGAGAGTGCTAACAATCTCCTTACTTCAATCTCAGCTGTGGGGCATGCGTTAATGTAAGGCACTAATGAGCCTGGACTCTTTGGGAAGGTGTGAAGCTATAAATCAACTCCTCATAGCTTTGTTCAGTTGTATCCAGTCCATACAGGTCAGATCACTTCAGCTTCTGCTGAAGCTTCAGCTTGAGGGATACAGGAGCAAGAAAAGAAGACAGGAGGAGGGACATCTCTTTATACGCCATCAGCAGTGAAGCTGTGTTCTGTGTCTTCCATCTCTACTTCACTAGTCTTCCATTCTAGTTCTAGGTTGGGGGAATTAAACCCCTTCCATTAAACCCATCACTGGTTTTCTCAGGGATGTTTGTTTGGTGGAAATGGTGTAAGAAACATTTGACATCAGCTTCCTCTATCCCAAAAACTTACGAAGAAGAGCTGTCAAAAAAAGTGGCCATCACCCAGATTTAGTTGATTAAAGCCACATGAATAAAAGAAAAATAGATGATCCAAGGTCACCTCATTTTCTTTCCCAGCAGTTGAATGTCAGCTAGAGGAAAACACGAGGCTGAATTCATGTCTGCTACAAACAGATGTGGTCCCTTTGAAATAGATGTACCCACTTACTCACACGGTGCCTGCATTAAGTCTGTTAGTGGGTTTTTATGAGATCTGGCAAGTGTAATGCTATCTGTTAATATCTGAAGGTGGGAGTGCTCAGGGAGTTGTCTAAAAGGCTTGCAAGACTAGATCTGGTGATATCCACCCACACTAATTAGCACATTACATAAAAGTACAACAAGTTTCTCTTTGCAAACAGTAGAATCACTTGCCCAGGCACTTTCTGTGATTCTAGAAGAGCTGCTGGAAAGGACTCTGCTGCTTTTTAACCTCAGTGGAACAATGGAGGGGAGGCAGAGTTCAGTTCCCACTTTCAGGGCTCGCTCCTGTTCTCCACCTTCCAAAAACACGCCAAGCAGAGGAAGGATGTTTTTAGAGTTCATCAAGGGCAGATAAAGGAATGAGATGATTATTTTTTCCCCATCAAAAACAAAACACAGAAATCAAATATTGAAGAGGAGAAATCAGTTTTACTTACAAATGACTCCTTCCAGTCCTTCCCTCTCCCTCCCTGCTCTGACTTGCTAATGATGCAAATTCCTTGGCGCAAACATCAGCCTCTGAAATCACCTGGAACTGAAAATATTTCAATCTGGGCTCATTTAAATACAGGGTCTTTTCATGTCAGGACAACAAATGTCCCACAGTGGCTAACATTTCTTCATCATTCCCATTTTAAAACAGCAGCAATCTCCTACAGAAAAACTATACTAAAGGTCTACTTCTTCAGAGAATGGAGCAGTAAAACCCAAAGAGCTTACCTAATTTCCTATGAAACCTCTGTGCCCTGCTCTTACAGCTTCACCTCGATTCCTCCAGCAGGATAATAAATACATACCCTGATTTAGATTTAGTCCAGACTCTTTGTGTGACATCTGGCTTCAAGATGGTGGCACTGAAAAGTGCAGTAATGACACAGGAATACAGAAAGAAGCAAAAAAAGTTTGGAGGAGTGGAAAGCAGGAGGCAGTGGAGAGAGGAGGGAAAACCAAAATTAAAATAAGTCAAAGGGCGGAAATTCCTTTGGAAAGGCCTTAGGCTCCTACAAAGCTTGTCCACATTTGCAGCACTTCAACATTACCCAATACCAACCTTATGTACAAAGGGACAGCAGACCTCAACGGGCATTCCAGAGGAGCTTTTCTTTTTTAAGAAAATCTTTGTATGTATCCATCCAAACTCGCAAGAAACTCACTGTATGTAGAGCATTGTATCTTGCAACACTCACAAGTGAAGAAACTCTATTACCCAACTCTTGCTTACTATCTGAAAAGCAATGTCAATGTTTTCCTCATTATTTTCTGTTTGCTGCATACCTCTCCCCCACTGTGACTGCTATTTGACCTGCTGTCCGCTCAGAGACCCTAAGGGAAAGAGAGAGGGAAGTGTGAGCGTGCGCCTCTGTGAGAGAAGAGAGAGATCATGAGAGTCCCTGCTACATTCTGACTGGTTTAGATTCATTAGAAAGAAATCAACCGCACTTAGGATGTAAGACAACCTCTGAAGATAGGGAACATCTTTGATGTAAGGCAGGAAAAGAGTGGATGAGGGACAGCTGTGGGCATGGGTAGAGTTGCTTTCAGCATGCACACGAGTTTTTACCTCTCTTTTGCATTAGGATGTCATTAATGAATAGAAACTCAACAGAGAAGTTTGATTTAAGAGGGACACTGCAGGGTGCCTTGCTGCACCAATCCCTTTTGCTCTTGCATCTACAAGCCTGGCGTGCCTGACTGTGGTTAATGAGAAAATAGAAGGATGAGGGTGCAGAAGGGGAAGAATTATCCCTCTCCAGTGTTTCTTAAGCGTGCACCTCTAATGCTGGCAGATCCTGGAAGAGTTCTTCCCCCATTGCAGCTGTGTTTTCAGTGAATTAGGTTTCCTCTCAAAAAGCGGACAGAAAAATAATGCTGAAAGCATCTATTAGGGAGGGCATCACAGTCACTGAGATCAAAGTTTCTTTTCATCCTCTCCAGAGAGCCTCAGACATTTAGGAATTTAAAAAGCCCTCCATAGTGAGATGCCTTGTCAAGGCTGGCGCAGGGCTTGACACTCGGAAGGAAAGCACTGACCAAGACAGGAGAATGCCTCGAAGCATCCATGGAGGCAAAGGGATATCAATGATACTGCACCTCTCCAGCTGCTCAGCGAGACACAGCTAGCGATCTGCAGGAAGGACAACATTCATACCATCGTTCCTCCTAAGTAGTGAGTCTCCATTCTGAGATCTTCCTTTGGATCTGCCCTGCAAAAGCAGCTCTCAGCTTTCCTGCTGCCATTCATACCTCTGTACAAAGTTATAGATTTCAAAACGATAGATTTCAGCTTTTTTTTTTTTTTTTTTTTTGATTCCTCTCCACCATTTTGGTTTATGGGCAAATATCACTCTTCCTTTCTACAGCGTTTTCCATTTGAATCTGCTGAGCACTTGACAGACAATAAAGCAGTAACATTCACAACTCCTGAGCCAGGGAAAAGCCACAACTATCTGTTTTGCAGGTCAGGGTGTGCCTTGGGATTATGCAGCTTGGCCCAAGAGTATGAAATAAGGTCAAAACTTAAGCCTGGAGCCCTGACCTCACTCCTTTACTTCAACCACATGGCTTTCTTTGAGGCACTTCATTCAGGTGTTCTCCAGGCTGGCTTGTGACATTCCTGAATTGCAGTGATATGAATTCCTCTTTTAAGCAGTGTTTCAATATGTTTCAACTACACAACTATGCCTAGGTTTAGATGCAGACTGCATCTGGCACTGGAATGCAGTGTTGCTCTTGCTAGGCTGTCAGAGAGTCTATCATTATAAAAATAAATAACATCTAGCTGCTTCTGGCATTTCAGTGCAAGCAGTATTTATCACTTTTGGCTGATCAGTGCCTGATTCAATGTCTCTAACAAACAATGGGTATATTCCCAGTTGAATTCAACATGCATTTAATCAGGCCTTTGCTAACTGTGCTTCCAAACTCCACATTTCATGAGCACTACAGCACTGTCTCTTCCATTTTCAGAGAATTATTCCTCTTATTTCACTGTGCAGATCGATACAACGGATTTTACTCTATGGATTATGTCACTGAATGTGTTTTTGTACAAGCAGGCTCTAGATTTAGTTTACCCCCCAATGTGATGCTGTCTTACATGCGTGGCAATCTGGAATTAATGCTAAAAATATATATATATTTCATCATAAATGAACAAAAATATTCAGAAGGACAATTACATTCCATATATGAGCTCAATGACAGAAGGAATCTTCCGTGATTCAAGCTGTATGCTCTTCTGACTGAGCACTGCTGTCCAGCCTTCATGGGTGCAGTAAGACAGCTTTCCTGGGCACAGAGCAATCCTTGCAGAGAAAAGGCCTGGGGAGCCTTTCACAAAGAAAACAGCAGTTTGCTCCTTCCCTGACATGACTTGGGAACAGCTTCAACAACAAATATAAAGCGAAGGAAGGGAAGGAACTTCCATTCAATGTCCACGACTTGTAGCTCTTCATTTTTAAAGTTCCCCATTCAAAAAGCTGAAATGCAATCAGTGTCAGTTTGCAATTGCAGTTCCTCCAAAGACAGCGGATGAAGCCTGGGGTGCAACATGCTGCCTCTCAGCTGAGACAGCCCTTTAGAAACAAAAATTACATCTTAAAACTATGAGCTGATTTAACAATTGAACCCTAAAGAATTTAACATCACATAAACATTTCACACTTTCTGTTTTTTCTTGCCAAGGGTCCATAGTCTGGTCATTAAATCCTGTGCAAAGGTCATGTTACTATGGATATGACCTGCAAGAAATGTGTTGCCTCAAAGCAGCGCGAGTCACATGAACAGGCTACAAGCCAAGACTGCTGATTCACAGCCCTGTCAGGATTTTCATGCTTGTGCTGGTCCCTCTGAAGAACAGTCCTTCCACCACCAAGTCTATGTTCGTCCTTTAAAAGTGTTCATGCAGGTGTAGCTCCCAGAAAACTTGTGGATTTCTTCAAGTGCTGCCTGAGGGAGAATGCTGCAGGAGGAGCAGAGAGAAAATAAGCAGACCAGACAAACCTTTCAGTCTGTTCTAATAGGAGGATGTCTAAATATCTCTATCTATCTATCTATCTATCTATCTATCTATCTATATTTTTTGTTCCTCTCTTAGTATTTAGTATTGTGATTATTTTCCATTTCAGTTTCTGATTGAAGTAGGTTTTCCACAGGCTTTGGTGCAAATTTGCACAGAAAAACGTTCTTATGTGCTTTTTCTATTCAGTTGTTTCAAGATATAAAGTTATGACTTTCTTTCCTTAGGCACTTTAAAATAATCCTGTCCTAATCATACACACAAATATTTTTGATAGCTTCACGTGTTCTCTAAATACAGCTGTGATGCACATACTTTACTGCATAGGAATCCATTACAATACAAAGCAGAGTCCAAAGAGTGGCTTACTGAATCAAAACGAGACACACATGTTAGTGGTTAAGAAATTTCCCAGATGGCAGTTTTCAGACCTCAGGAAACAGAATCCTAGGGAGATGGTTTAGTGGGCATGGTGGTGATGGGCTGATGGTTGGACTCGGTGATCTAAGTGGTCTTTTCCAACCTTAACGATTCTATGGCTCTAATTTTGGGAGTAAAACTGGTTTCGTACAAGGGGCAAACTCAAAAAGAAAATCTAACAAATCTGCTAAGGGAACCTCAGAGAAGTTTCCCTCTACTGCTTCTGTGGCTCTCCTAGGAAGGGATGACTTGGTCTGAACCCAGTTACCTGATAAACAATCAAATTGAGGTTTGCTTTGGTGGACAGACAGAGCAGGACTGCAAGTAAATCTTGCCTCACTAGCTGGACTATTGCTGGGCATGGGAAATATTTACCTTTTCAGGATGACCAGAACATTCATTGTCCATGGAAGGAGCAGGAAGGCTTGATTCATCTGCACAGCTTCCACTGTCCTCCTAGCCACAGTCTCTGGCTTGAGAGGAGGAAAAAGATTAGGGAACCTAAATAAATAAAGTAAAAAATAAAATAATTATTTGTTAACCAAACTCCTTCTTTTAGAAATCACTGTCCACGTTCTGTTACTCACTGTAAGTTATCATTGGCAGCTGGTATTCAGACATGCCTCAAAGCAGGCTAGAAGGGGCAGGAGATTGTGAAGCCCAATTCCAACCACTGGTACTGTATTACAGCTAAAGGGTTTAGGATGAAGTGGCACAAAGTATTCAGCACCCTGATACAGGGATTTTCTTAAATTGTCTGCAAACCAAAGCCAAAACGCTGCCTTTCCAATGTCAGTGTTCTTTCTGCTGCTTTTTGATTCATTCAAATTCTCGACAGGTGAAAGGCAAATATTTTTCAGCTCTTAATATCAAACGTAATTGGAACTAGATGATCTTAAAGGTTACTTCCAACTCAAAGCATTCTATCATTCTATGACTCTGTAAGGCTTTTCCTGGCTGGATGCTGCATATTTTCTTGACCAAGAGGTTATTTTGTTGATCGTAAAAGATTAACTTGGTCAGCCATTAGGCTTTTTTTTTTTTTTAGTTTAGCTTGTTTTAAAGGATGTAGTGAAAGCCTTACTTCAGTAAATGGATTTCATTCCCTTTAGTGGGAAAGGATTAAATATATCAATGGATAAAGAAGGAATTTGCACTGTTAATTCTCAAGCAATTTGTAGACTGCTCCGTTTTGAATGACCTCAATTTTCAGATTGCCTCTCCTCCCTCTCTAAGTGGCTGCAAATGGCCCAAATACACCCAGGGAAAAATAGCTTTCAGATTTCTCTGTAGAAGCAACTGCCTCACTAAGTACAGGCAGGCAAGCTGGATGAATATGCCAGCAAACTGAGGGAACCAGTCTGATGAGTCCCAGGTGGCCTAGAGTGACCCTCTGTTCCCAGGCAGCCAAATGAGACATCAAATTCTCTTAACTAAATGAAGCATTAATTAGGAGTGTATTCTGATGATTCATTTAAAATGAGATGCTTTATTGTAGTTCCCCTGGACTGACCTGATTCTCATGCCCTGGAACATCTCTGTGCTCGTGTGGAAGGGCAGCACTGTTGTGGCATTCACTCCAGGACAGTCCAGCAGCCCCAAGGTCAGGCTCTCCATAAAGGCAAAAGAAGAAGCTTTGGAGGTGCAGTAGTCAATGGCACCAGGGATGGCTGACAAGGCCAGGACAGAGTTCAAGCAAACTATGTGTCCATTCTGCAACTCCAGCATCCTTGGCAAGAATGCTTTGGTGGTCTGAAGAGCACAACAGAAGGGGTGAGGGGGAGAAAGGGTTTACTCAGCAGAGATGCAACAAAAACAACAGTGCCTGAAAAACACAATAAGGTGACACAGAGACAACAAGTCAAACTGCACTGCCTGTTCAGCCAGGAAAGGAGGGGAGGAGAGCCTTGTTGCTTTGCACTCTCTGAAAGCTTTTAAACAGGAAAAGTTGGTATAGAGGATAACCAATATTTCCTAGTACATACTTAAGCAGTTGCCTCAGATCAAGGCCACAAACAAAATGCTTTGTATGTTGAGAGCTTCTTGTGGAGGATAAAGTCCTCAGCAACGAGATGAAATCACAGGAAGCTCTTTTTTGTTACTATTATCTAACTCAAAATTGAATGCGTTTCCTTCCCCCAGCAAGGCAGTCTTGAGCTGATGTTCTGTACACATCACTGCACAGAAAACTCTCCTCTGTGGGCTAAGAGTTTCTCAGAAGACATCAGATGTTTTGCTGGAAATGACAGAACGGGGATACAGGAGCATCAAATACTGCATTGCTATTGGAACCTTTGACAGTTATTTTATTAACTTCCATTTAGAAAGACAAAGCATCAGCCACGAGTTTATCTGTCACTCTCAGTCCCAAGTCTGAACCCGTGAGATGTGAGAGCTTATCTTACCCAGAACTGTCCCAGGGTGTTTATATGCTGTGATTTGAGCAGTGCATCATCATCGCTGTCCATCAGACTTTTACCATGGACCACAGCAGCATTGTTCACTAGGACAGTGATGTCACCCACCTGCAAGGAAACAAATAACTCGTTACAGCACTCACTGTTTTATCTGAACTGCCAGGTTACACTCTTATTATCACAGCTTTTGGCACCCTGTCTGCAGGCATCCTTCTGGATCACTTAGAACTTTGCATCACATGAGCTGGATGTTCACCTTTCTTTTTTCCAGCATGACCACCTTCCTCAAAGAGAAGGAATTACTGCATTTTGCCTACAAACACTGTTTCTGCACACCAACCTTCTCCCGCACAGCTTTGGCTTGCCGATAGACTTCCTCTCTGTTTCCAACATCACAGATGAAATAATGGCATTCTGTCCCCATCATCCTGATTTCCTCTGTGGTCTCCTTCAGGCATTTCTCAGTTCGACCCCACAGGATGATCTGCAACAACAACAAAAAAAACCCAACAATCAAACCTTTTGTTAGAGCCAAAGTACTTCTGCTTCAAATCTAAGATAATTAAAACATGCTTCTGACTTCAACAAATTGATGAACATCTTTGATGTGTTTTCACTGTCAGCCCTGTTGCATTGCTTCACTTAAGACTAACAATGATTTTATAGTACAAGCAGATGGGACTTCAGTGAGCTGCTGGTGGCTGGATCCCACTGCTGATACTCTGCTTGCAGGTCCTTTACAAGCAACAACAAGAAAGAGCAGTTATTTAGCTTAACCCAGTAAATACACAAAACACTTCACAAATACAGTAAGGCATTTTTTTCCAGCATATCCGAGGTAACAATTCCCAGTGCTGACTGTTTCCAGGCTGGTGTCCTAGCTGCTTTTCAAACAAGGCTCATCTTAATACAGCCATTTAGAGAGAGAGATTTCAACCATTAATTTAATTTGCAGCTAGTACAAGCAAGATTTCATTTGCCACTCCCAGTTAACAAACACAGTAAAACTGATACAATAGCTCCTGCATAAAGAACAATACTGGACACCCATGGAAACAAAACCTTGTATAGCACAGATCTGACACATATTGAAGACAGAACCAGCACAACCCTGTCTGTGTTTCTACACCATCATGGAAGTGAGAAACAACCTGAGATGCTACCAGGTTGGTTAAATATCCTCATGGGGTTTTACCCCTGTAAGTGTTCCTAGTGAGAAAACAAGGTGAGTCTCAAACATAAAGTGGTGCTTCCACCACAAGCTTTCAACCACTAATCCACAGCTTAACAGATCCAATGGAACATATATATATATATTTTACTATATGCAATGCTATTTTTCTATCTCTTATAAACTAGAAAATGACCTGATTCCATCTCTGTTACCTAAAATATCTACATATGAATCAATCTACCATTGTTGCCCTTCAAGCTACACAGTCTGCTCTGTGTTCATCATCTTAAAAATGAATGGCCAGCGATTGGAGAATGATACAGAAACCATCTGAGTGCTCTGTGATCCCAGCAGCAAGGTCCAAAGGAGAAAGAGCAAAAGATTGCCACTGCTCACAACCGTGGCTCAAGGCAACACAGGTTTTTCCGCAGTAGGTTATGTCTATTGTGCATAATTGCTATTTAGTACTAAAAAAAATAAACAAGGACATTCACATAGTCAAATGCAGGTTTACTCTAATCAGGGACAGGTAAAAAATAGGCCTTGAAAATGGAAACAGTTTCATTGCTCTCGGAATGATGCTGTTTCCAAGCAGTGGTCTTATCACCTGCCACCCAGGATTACAGTTGTTTCCTGTATCACAGGAATGGAGTATGGATCTGACTGTTAAATTGAATTTTTTATGGTTAAATAAGCACACTTAGATTACTATATCTTTATAGTTCAAGTTTCTTTCAAAAGCAGAAAGAAGAGGGAAAGCAGGTCTCAATTACACCACTGCTTATAACTCAGTCCCTATAATTAATCACGGATCCTAAGAGTTGGAAGGGACCTCTGAAGGCCATCTAGACCAACTCCCAGTACAGGCTTAATACCAGCAGGATGAACACAACAAATTGGGTCCTGTGGTTTTCCCTCCCTGCAACAAATCCCTTGCAGAAGGCTTTAACATGCTTATTTTTAAGGATTACTTAAACCCATCTCATACCTGGTACTAAAACTGATATCTGGCAGGCTCAAAGAGCCCTTCCCAGTGCAACTAAGCAAGAGTAAAGCCCAGAAGTATCTGGGTTCTCATTCATTTCCTAAATGAGTTAAATGTACAATTAAGCCCATTAATTAATCACTGATGCACATGCAGGCAGACTACTGGCTGTCCATTCTCAAAATCATTGAAGGGCTGCAGAACTTCAGAGCAAGCATGTGCATGGCAGAGCCATTTCATGGGAAATCTCATCTCAGAGCATCTCATTTGCAAAAAGAGAGCTGTGTTCAGACTGAAAAAGCTGTAAGAAAGCAGACAGATAACAATTTGGCCTGCGTGTTGGCCTCAGCACGTTGCTGTTGGCCATCAGGCTTTGGCATCTACACAACGCCTGTAGAACTGAAGACTATTTACATGCTCCTGAAATCAGAGCTAGACTGGGTGATATTCTGTATGCCTACTCTGCAGACTTCAGGGGAAATGGAGAACATGTGAGAAATTTCACAGGCTCCCAGGAAATATTTACAAAATATTGCTTAACTGCAAGGGTACGCAGTTACTTGCTTTCTTTCACAACCTACATCTCTGTGGAAAGGGGAGAGAAAACACTACAAGCTGTCGACAGAAGCAGCAACAGAAGCATTTGACTGCAGTGTTTGCATCGGTGTGGAGTTCAGCCTCCTCACAGGACTGCATCAGTGATGTGCAGGCACTGCAAGGTCAACTGACAGCGCACAGAGCGATGGAAGGCACAGCAAGAAGAGCAGAAAGCAGTCAGGTAAAGGCAAGGGGAATAAATATGGTTAGAGATGGACCTCACATATGCACTGTGGCTTTCCCACTCCTATTGCAAAACAAAAAGTAGATCCCTCACTCTTCACTTTCATCTGTTTCAAACATCCCCACTCCCCAGAGCTGCCACTGATTCATTGAATGCCAGGAAACATACATGGAGGAACAGTTAAGTGAAGGACAACCTGTTAAAGGAACATCTGCCTGTGATGCAGCTCTTGGACATAATATTTTTTATGCCCCAACAGTTACTTTGGGACCTTGAATATCCTATAGGCAAGTCTTGCATGCAACCCTTTTAAAATTTGGGCCATCTGGGGAAGGCAATTTGTTGATTATCCTGATGGCAGCATTAAGTTCAGGACTGATTTTTTTTCCATGAGAAGTTTTCACATCCTTGACACTGCTCACACTCAGGTGCTTCAGCCTGCATCAGAGAAAAGCAGAAAATAAAAGACCATTCTTTTGTGAGAGGTGAAAGTTCCCTAATGGCACAGTGGGAAGTGAGGTTTCCTGCCATCATTTCTGCTACTTTTCACAGATGTATAAAACTCAAAACTCGATACAACTTGCTTTTGGTCCAAGTTCAAGATTGAATGCTCCTACACGGTCCTATGAGATCTCCAATTTCTTGTCTTACATCTGGCCAAATTAAATTGGCACAGGCTTCATCCTAAAGACTCTGAGAAGACTGAGTGGCTGCATCAGCCTCATCACCCATCCTCACCATCACAGAACCACTGCGACTGGAAAAGACCTCTAAGTCCAACCACCAACCCCACCATGTCCAGTCACTGCCCCCATGGGACGCTGGCCAGGAGGTCACCACGCTTTACTGTTGGACCCCATCTCCGCCTCCCATGGAGCAGGATCTCACCAAGCTCTTTTTTTGTGTTTTTTTTCTTTTGTTGGCCTGCTCACATGGGAGCCCTATGGTTGGACATGGGGACAGAGCATGCTGAGAGCAGTGGGGCCACTGGAGCATTTTATTAGGAAGCATAGCTTGCAACACGTGGGCACAGTGTGTGCTGCTGTTCCTTTTTGAGGTTAATTCTAAACTGGCAATGACTGTGACCCAACTGGGGAGAATGACTCTTACAGACACGGCCTTTCCTGTCTGGGACGGAGAAAAATGCAGAAGGAGAGGAGATTCACAGCACTGCTTATTACACAGCCCGTCAGGCACTGCACAGCCACCCATTCACGGTAATTTAATGGTGGATAGAGGAATATTTAATCTGCGTCTCGGAGAAGTTCTTGGACAGACAGTTTTCCGTCCTGGAAAGAATCCAGCCACCATTTCTTCCCCCTTCATCTCTTCCCTGCCGCACCAGACACGCTCTCCTTTCACAGGGTTACTGACCAGAAAATTGGGGAGGGCAGCAGCCCAGCGAGGCGGTAAATCCCTGCTGTGGCCCTGCTCTTACCTCGGGCTGACCCCAGCAGGCAGGTGGGGTGTGAAATCCATCGCCTGTGAGTGCTGGCAGGGCAGGGGGTTTCCACACCGGGCACAAAGTAATGGATTTACGGCGACAGAGGAACGCAGCGTGCTTTTCTCTCTTACCTCTGGAGGAGGGCTGTGACATCACAGTTTACTGCAGATTTTCCCAGGATTGATTCGTGCTAAACAAACCTTATCTCTTTATCTTCTCCCCTCTGGCAAGGCAGAGAGCTGCTTATCTTGGCCTCAGGAAAACCACTCCAGCCCCAGTGGCAGACCCCTAGCCCTGCTCTCCCAGAGGCCTCGTTTAACTCTGGGCTTAATCCGCTAATGAGACATGCCCTAAGGTCAGAGGGCAGCCAGAGGGAAGGCTTTGGCTGCTGTTGGACTGCAGATTTTTCAATAGAGCCAGCACTGGATGCAGGCCCGCAGCCCCAGACCTGGCTCTAGGTTTCAATCCCTGCTTTTCACCTTGCACAAGTCCACGTTTGAGTTGTTTTTGATGATTTATATAAACTGGTCTCGATTGATGCTACTGCCAACCACAATATACTCACATGACCTGTGCTCCCAGAGCCTCAGGTATGTGATTAGTACAGGAGATGAGGTTAATTTTACCTCATTTACAAAGCTATTTAGCTTGTTTGCTCCAATCTTATTGCTAGCATAAGTCAAGAATGACAGCAAAGGGATGCTGCTGTTACATCTTCAGTTAAATTGGCACTGTATCCCTGGCAGAGCTGCTGTGCTGGACTTTGCAACACAACTGGAAGGTGACCCACAGCAAAAGCTTTTCTGAGCCTGAACACAGCATGGCTTAGGTTGGAGAGGACCTTAAAGATCAGTCACTTCCAATGCCCTGCCATGAGTTGGCTGCTCCCCACCAGCTCAGGCTGCCCAGGGCCCCATTCAACCGCCTTCAGAGATGGGGCAGCATGCTACAGTACCTAGACACGTGCCTGTCTTGGTGCTCTGGGTTATCCAGGCTGTATTCTACTGCACAATTCACTGCTACTCTTTTCCAACACAGCAGCATGCACAGTGACTTAGGAAAAGTAACTTCCATCCCCAGAGTCTCTGCATTTCATGATT